GGATAATTAAATAATGTAAATTGATTTCATAAAATAAAAAATAGACATGATTGACAACAAATCCGGTGATTGATTTTATTTGATGCAAATTCAAATAACTTATTAATAATTAATAATTGAAAGTCAAACTTTACATAAATTAAAACTAATTATGGTGATATTATTTCCATAAATTATCAATATATAATAGATATGATATTATGATATATATGTATATATAGATATGCACATATAAATGATTTAGATAATAAATGCATATCCGAATTTTAATAAAAATCAAAATATATGAAATATACACACTATTTTTTTTATCCTTTTATCTTTTTTCTTATTATAGTAATAAAAATATAAATTTCATAATATATTAAACAACAAATTAATTAAATTTAAAATTTTAAACATCAAAGTCCATAAATATACAATATTTGCAAAAGAAAATAAAATAAATCTAAATTAATATGATTGATATAATCTGTATCAATCAATGATATAGTTTATATATAATTATTTCCATGTATATTGATAAATTAATTTTTTAATATATTAATTTGAATTATTAATTAATATATTAATTAAAATTAGAAAAAATATATATATATATATATATATATATATATATATATATATATATATATATATATATATATATATATATATACATACATACATATATATAGTTTTATTGGGCTATCAATTTCAAAGATACATGCACACGTGTCTATCTTTGTTTACGTTTCAAAATGTTTAACAAGTTGGTATCCTGCTGGAATCATTATTATTATTTTAGCCAGCTGGAATTAATTATGATATCTCGTGCTTGCATAAAAAAGACCAATGAGGACAATAAAAATAGAAAGGTATGTAGGCAGAAACAAAAAACCGTTGGTCCAAATCGATTTTTTATTTTCGCTTAATTTATTTATACTAGTAATTGTACCTGTGCGATGCACGGGACAACAAATTGCATTGTTTTGATGTTGTAAGAATATAAACAAACGTTTGATGTATCGTATGATCAAAATTCTATTATACTGGAACGTTATTAAGTATACTACACAAAAAAAAAAAGGACATAACTTTACTGTTGAATAATTTTCCTAATGAATTGAATCAGCTAATACCAGTAGATTGAAAATTTGAACCAGGAAAAAAATCATCAATTATGTCTTTCATGTTGAGCTTAAAAGTAATTAGATTTAATAACTAAGTTAACAGAATCAACACTAAACTATCGACAACATACCATCGTAAAAGACCATCTATACATCTTGCATCGGAACTAAGCCCTTCTCCACTGCCTCATTTTAAGGCTGTTTTGCCACTGGAATTAACAATTGGAAAATTAAGAAACAAAAATAAATACAAGCAATAAATTAAATATCGCATACAAACAATAAGTCTTGAAGGTCGACTTCCAATAGCTTGTGGCTCCGCCCATTTTTGGTTAATTTTCTCAAATCATCCCTTTCAATAACATGTCCAATAACATATAAAATGAAATAATTGTTATACATAAAATTTGAAATCTTTGGTATAAATTAATGAAACACATAATTTAACAAAATGAGATTACCTATAAGCCATGATGGAAAAAATGTAAACTAATTGCCACACAGTCAGTTTCTTTCTTTTATATATAAGATATCTAGGAGATAAAAAATTGATGAACATCGATAATAATATTTAAAATAATATTTAAGAGATACAAATTTGATAAAAAAAATCAAAAAATAATATTTAGGAGATAAAAATCTGATAAATATCGAAAATAAAATTTAAAATAATAGTTAGGAGATAAAAATTTGATTAAAATCGAAAATAATATTTCAAATAATGTTAATGAGATAAAAGTTGATAAAATACGAAAATAATAATTAGAATAATATTTAGGAGATAAAATATGATTAAAATCAAAATTATTATTTAAAATAATATTTAGGAGATAAAAATTTGATAAAAATCGAAAATAATATTTAGGAGACAATAATGTGATAAAAAACAAAATCAATATTTAGGAGATAAAAAACTAATAAAAACATGATAAAACTCGAAAAAAATATTAAAAATATTATTTAGGAGATATAAATTTGATAAAATTCGAAAATTATATTTAGGAGATAAAAATCTGCTAAAAGTTGATATATTTAAAATTATAGTTAGGAGATATAAATTTGATAAAATTAAAAAAATATTATTTATAATAATATTTAGGAGATAAAAATTTGATCAAAATAAAAAATAATATCTAGGAGACAAAAATCTGATAAAAATAAAAAATAATATTTAAAATAATATTTAGGGGATACAAATATGATAAAATTCGAAAATAATATTTAAAATAATATTAAGGAGATAAAAATTTGATAAAAATTGAAAAAAAAAATTACAAATATAACATTAGGTTTCTTAGGGTTGCCCTAGCGTTTGTTTCTTTTATATATAAGATAAATATACTTGTTTCCAACGTGCATGAAATAAATGCAGCCCATAATTATTAGTCAAGTTGGAACTAAATGCCATGCACAAAATCTGGTTCTGCCACTTCAGCGTCCAACTGTTTCCCACGTGGTTGATGGTAACACAAAATACAGATCATATCCTTACAAATCTTTTTATTATTTCCGGACTATTCCTCCATTATTATTATTTACTGACCAAGTTACCCTTAGAGGTCATTGTTTAAGCATATTATTCACTTGGGGTGTAAATTCTAAATTTGTAATTTAAAAAAAAAAAGAATTCTAGAATTACAAAATTTTATAACAGTTATCTTTTATTCTATAAATAGTACTATGTATTCTTCATTTTAAGTGAAAAAATGATTAATATTTCCATTAATTATATATCTCTTGTTTCATTGTTGCAAAACAATATATATATATATATATATATATATATATATACACACACATTACTCTACATTTAATAAGCGTTGTAACTTCTAATTATTTCCAGTTGGAAAATCTACGACGAGCGAACCCCAGTAAAAATCTTGAGAAAAATAATGCAAATTAATTAGACTGCACTCAATTATGTGCGTTGACGAGTATTTATGGCGATTTCTTTTTGTAATTGATATGCTATAATATTATATTGGACATGTATAAACAATAATAATTTGTATATAATATATTATCATATGTATATCGTATGATATTATGTACAATCATAGTATTCTCAATTTAATGCACCCCACATGTACTTCACATCAATATTATATGAGTTAGGTGGCGTTTCGACATTTTCAAAATATATCGGTGTACAAATTGCTAGTCGAATAATATGTTACAGTTAAACCTCTATGAATTAATACAGATAAGACTAGCGAAATTCAATTAATTTAGTGTAATATTAAATTACTGAACTAATAACTTAATAGTTTTCACCGAATTAGGGTCAGGTAAACTTATTAGTCAAGCCAATTTATTAATTTATATCGAGATTCTGTTGTATTTATAGATTAAAAGTTGTGGATGTTTGCAAATGTAATGAAAAGTCAACTTCAAGCATTGAATTTGTAAATTCAAGTGTTTATAAAATAAATTTTACTTCTGAAGCCATTTTATCAAATTTAGGACAAAATTACGGCCATCCCTCTAAGATGAGGTCAAATAACGAAAAAAAATCTCTCAGAATTGAGTATTTACAACCACTCCCCTCATGAGAGATTTATTCATAATTTGACCTTACCTCAGGGGTCGTCCGTAATTCACCCTAAAATTTATGAAAATAAAGGTAATTCTTCTAAAGCATCGCAAGTACCGTCACAACTTTTAAGCAAAAAATATCTTCTTTTGAAATTAGTACGTACGTACTTAAAACATCTTTTTTTTTAAATAAAAACCAAAAACTAAATGTAAAATTACAAACCCCCCCCACCACCACCACCATGTACATATTACTTCTATTAATAGGGCACAAAAAATGTAGGTTTCTCACCAGAAACAGCTATGGCAGCTACGAATAATATAGCTCCACGTGTAGCCATTTTCCTGTTTCTAAGTTGTTCTTCATTTGCAGCTGCTGCAAAACATGTCTATGAATCGAAGCCTTTCAACCGCACTGATTTTCCACCTGGTTTTCTTTTTGGAGCTGCTTCTTCTGCTTATCAAGTATTTTTTTTATTTATTTTTTTCTATAATATTCTACTATAAATAATTAAATATTTATTATTATATATATTATATATTTGATGATGATATAATATTATTCTCTGTATATATAGTTTGAAGGTGCTGCATTTGAAGGTGGGAAAGGACCTAGTATTTGGGATACTTACACTCACCAATTTCCAGGTTTCCTCTCTCTCTCTCTCTCTCTCTCTCTCTCTCTCTCTCTCTCTCTCTCTCTCACTATCTCTCACTCTCTCGCACTACATATCAACAATTAATCTTAGAAGTTTTGAGAACCTATTTTATTATAAGACAGTGGAATTAAAGATGAATACCCCGTGCATCGCACGGGAGTAGAACTAGTATGGACAGAAATGTATACAAAGGTATAAAAAGGTATACAGATTGTTGAACACAGATAGACATGGAACTTCAACGAAATTTTTGACACACTTCAAGGAAAGGATCAATGGGTTCATTAAGCTGCAATTGCAAAATAAAAAAAAAATCACTTGAGTGTAAATCAACAAAATTTGAAGAAACATCGAGACACGGAAAAATCAGCAAACGCTAAGAGATCGAGAGATAGAGAAAGAGAGGTTATTGTTGGGAAAGTCTACGTACTTTAAATCAAAATAAAGAGTGAGTCTGACCCCCTCGCCTCCA